AAATCATCCCACAGAACTTCTAATATGCCTCTTTCTAAGTGCAGCATTCTGATGTCTTAAATCAGTGACACTGGTCCCGCTCAGCCTTTGAGACTCAACTTTGGTGAAAATAACCTATATCGGCCAGACACCAAAAGGAAGGAAAAACCGACTTCTGATAAAGAGCCTTTGGTGTTGATCACGAAAGAAGAATGCAACTTCATTTTCCTATTCGTTCCTGCTCCTTGCCACATGAAAGCCATTTACATGTTACGGTAAACCTTAGGTTGATTAGATATTTTCATCCAATGTCTCCTTGGGTGCGCCTATTTGCCAAAAATTGAGCCAATACAAAACCCAAATATTTCTAACACTAACAGTGGGAGTTATTTCCTGACTCATTATCACAATTGCAATTACAAGATCATCAGAGTTATAAGATCACGTAGTGAAAATGTAACTCATTTCTTCAGGGAACCTGTATTTGAGAGCCACATTGGTAAGATCTGAGTGTTCAGGTCACTTACAGACGATCCCTTGGATCCCAGCTGTGTTCTGTCTGCCTGCTCTACTCTTCCTCTAAAACTTTCAGAGTCAGTCTCCACCACATTCCAGGTCTCCATTCCCTGCTCTGCAAGGCCCCCCAGTTCCCTACCCTCTTACGCAGAAGGAATTGCAGCAGTTCTTTACCCCTTCCCCCAGACCACCAGTGGACCACAGAATCCACCCTTTTCTCATTTATGTGTCTATCTCTTATACTACACAGATGGCTTCTTGGAAAAATTGTTTGGCCAAGCTCAGTGGCTCATGCCTGTAATCCCAACTCTTCAGGAAGCTCAAGACAGGAAGATCGCTGGAACCCAGGAGTTTGAGGCTGCAGTGAGCCATGATCATGCCACTGTACTTCAGCCTCAGTGACAGAGTGAAACTCCGTCTCCACAAAACATTAAAAAAAATTTTAATTTTATTGTGGTTGATGGGATTCAAGACACACTTCCTCAAAATATGGCACCTTGCCATTTGAAAAACGGCAAAAGCGGGAAGGTCTCGCTGATTTTCCTCCTGCCCTGTCCTTCTCCCCTGAAGCAGCTTATGAGATTTTTTTATTTTGATAGGGAGTGTCACTCTGTCACCCAGGCTGGAGTGCAGTGGTGGGATCTCAGCTCACTGCAACCTCTGCCTCCCAGGCTCAAGTGATTCTCCTGCCTCAGCCTCCTGAATAGCTGGAATTACAAAGGTACACCACCACACCTAGCTGATTTTTTTGTATTTTTAGTAGAGACGGGGTTTCACCATGTTGGCCAGGCTGGTCTTGAACTCCTGACCTCAGGTGATCCACCCAGCTCAGCCTCCCAAAGTGGTGGGATTACAGGCATGAGCCACTGCACCTGGCAGTTATAAGATTCTCATTGGATAAGTGCCCACCACTTTAGGTGGAGGAAAGGAACATCCTTGTCTGTGAAGACACAGAAACAGCCTGACCAAACAGGCCTTGCTAAGTTCCTTCCAGGTTATCACCATTAGATCAGATGCTTTTGCCCTCCAATCACACTTCTCCGTGACTGTCCACCCCTTGCTAAACCTAAGCATGAAAAAATATACATGTCACTTTTTCTTTGCATCTTCATTTTTATATGAAGGCTCCCATGTCGTGTAAAATTTACATTAAATTCATTCATATGCTTTTCTTTTGTTAGTTTGTATTTTATTACAGGTGCCTCGGCCATGAACCTGGAATGGGTAGGCTAGAAACATCAGACCTCTAGGGAATAAGGGGCTGCTCCCTGTCCCCAGTATGCTCCGACCCCATCCTTCTTTCCCGTGTCTCTGCCAAGTGCCTATTCCTCCAGACTGCTCAACTCAACAGGATAGTGGATCTCAGAATTATTCACCCTACTAAATTTCACATGCTCTCTAATGCCCTTGGAAAATTGGTACTTTTCAGTTTTGGAGGCTGTGAGTAAAGACAGATTTGACTGCCCTAAAGGAGGAACTCTGGATCCCTTTCTCTATTATATCTGGAATATGTGAATATGGTTTGGCTCTGTTCCCATCAAAATCTTATCTTGCATTGTAATCCCTATAATCCCCCAATCAAGGGAGAGATCAGGTGGAGGTCATTGAGTCATGGGGGCAGTTGCCCCCATGCTGTTCTCGTGATTGTGAGTGAGTTCTCACGAGATCTGAGAACTCAGTGAGTTTGGTAGTTTCTCCTGCGTTCATTCTCCTTCTTGCCACCTTGTGAAGAAGGTGCCTTGATTTCCCTTCATGTTCCATCATGATTGTAAGTTTCCTGTGGCTTCCCCAGCTATGCCGAACTGTGAGTCAATGAAAGCTCTTTCTTTTATAAATTATCCATTCTGGGTCAGCTATTTATAGCAGTGTGAAAACGGACTAATACATGTGTCCTCCAGACACCCATATACTATCTAGGTAAAGTTAATAAAGCTTTATTTTAACATGTACTAGCATTAGGAAACAGTTTTTGGTAACCTACCTACTGATGAGCAAAATGCATGTGTCGGTAATCTTGTGAAGAAACTCTACAACCTCATACCATTGCTGGTGAAAATTGGCATAGCTATAATTTCTTCGAGCAGAATCTGAAATTGACCCATTTAGCAAATAAGTCACAGTAGGACCTACTTTAGATCCAAGGCATTTTAAATAAGGATAACTAGTTACATGGCAGCTTTCAACTGTAATGAGGCTGGTAGAACATTTTCATCATATACATATATATATATATATACACTTTTTTTTTTTGAGATGGAGTCTCGTGCTGTCACCCAGGCTGGAGTGCAGTGATGTTAACTCACTGCAACCTCTCCTTCCCAGGTTCAAGCAATTCTCGTGCCTCAGCCTCATGAGTAGCTGAGACTACAGGTGTGAGCCATCACGCCCAGCTATTTTTGTATTTTTAGTAGACAGAGGGTTTCACCATGTTGGCCTTAATCACTTGACCTCGTGATCCGCCTGCCTCGGCCTCCCGAAGTGCTGGGATTACAGGTGTGAGCCACTGAACCTGGCCCACCAAAGGGTTTTAAGAAGGGAAGTGATGCAATGACAATAATAATGAGTAGTTAACACTACTGAGAACTTGCTTATATATGTATTTTTTTGAGATAGAGTCTTTCCCTTGTTGCCCAGGCTGTGTGTACTCTCTATGTATGAGTAAATTCAGTCTATCCTTATAACAACGCTATGAGGTGAGTACTATTTATATCTCCATTTTATAGATGAGGAAACAGAGAGCTTAAGAAACTTGATCAAAACATAGCAAGTCAATTCTGGAACTGGGAGCTGTGTCATGCTTTTAAAAGGTCAGCCGGGCTGTATGGCAAAAGAGTGATTGTAGCAGGGAAGAATGGGAGCAAGGAGGCTTTGAAATAATCTAGGTAAAGGATGATAATGGCCAGAATCAGACTTAAGTGAGGTGAGTGCAGCACCAGCCTGGGTGCAAAATTTAAGAAGCAGTCTCAGTAATTAAGGTAAGTAATATTGGCCCAGAGTGGTGGCTCATGCCTGTAAGCCCAACATTTCAGGAGGCTGAGGTGGTTGGATCACTTGAGGCCATGAGTTCGAAACTAGCATGGCCAACATGGTGAAACCCTGTCTCTACTAAAAATACAAAACCTTAGCCGGGTGTGGTGGCACTTGTCTGTAGTCCCAGCTACTCGGGATGCTGAGACATGAGAATCACTTGAACCCAGGAGGTGGAGGTTGCAGTGTATAAGCCAAGATCGTGCCCCTGCTCTCCAGCCTGGGCAACAGAGGAAGACTCTGTCTCAAAAACAAAACAAAACAAAAACAAAACAATATTCTAAACGAAAAACTAAGATAATGGAAAAATCCCATTATGAACAAAATATCAAAATTTTAATTAAAGACAGTTTTGGTGTTACTGAAATTGCCTTTGCCTCAAGCTTCAGTATGACTGGGCCAGGCACTGGCTGGGACTAGGGTGGTGACAAGAAAGTGACCAATTTGGAGTAAACAGGAGAGGCCTGAGGTGGAGAAGGCGTAGGAGCTGGGGGAGGGCGCCGAGGGGCTGAGCAGTTTCTGCTGTTGATATGGAATATTACAAATTTCTTAGTCCCAGCAGAAGTTTAGCACCCACCTTCCCAGTCACCTGACTTTTCCAAATCTTGGAACCCACTCTGGCTGAACAGGCTTTTGTTTGTTTAAATGGTCACTTTTTGTATCCAAGAGCACAATTCAGCTTCCACTGGAAGGTTCTGAGAAAGGGTTTCAGGTATAAGTCTAGAGCATGGAACATTCTTTTTCACAGCTGAAAAAGAAACCTGCAGAGGGCGAAGGAAAAGACATCGTTAGGGGTAGCATAGGCCCAGGCAGGTGGAGGCCGGCAGGTGGACGCCGGCTGGATCAGGGAAGGAGAAGGAAGAGGCAGGGGCAGGGCCCGGCCTGTTTTAACGCCTTGGCGTTCTCACTGCTGCGGAACGACTGCAGGGGGCAGAGTAAAGAGCTGCTGCCACTTTCCTGCTCAGAGAGTGGCAACAGCTGTTCTAACTATTGAAGGTATGTGTGTTCCAGGATGCAGCCTTCCTGCATTCTCTTTGACCGCTCTTGATTAATTGCTAACCAAGATATGCACATGGTGGGGCTCACAAAGTGTGAGGCGGTATTTTAACAACAAAAACTGCAAAGAAATCTCTAGAAATGTTGGTTCTTTGGCTGGGAAAACGCAGTCTGTCAACAGTTGCCTCAGAAGCTCGGAGAGAGTTGGATGTGGTCACCAGAGAGGCCGCTCGAAGAGGAGCCATCCATTCAGATCCTCTACTCTGCCCCGCATGACAGCGGGGACGAGGTCCTGAACCTTGGCTGAGCCGGGCAGGTGACCTCCGGACTCGCCGCGGGGCGGGGCAGGTGTTGGGCTGAAGGAGGGCGTGGCTGGCGGGGCGGGGCGGGGCGAAGAAAACGAGGCCGGGAGTGGACGGGGGTGTGGCCGCGGGGGCGTGGGAAGTTGTGTGGGCGTGGCTAACGACAAGGGGCGGGGCGCGCGCGTCGGGAAGATGGCGCTACGTCTGCTGCGGAGGGCGGCGCGCGGAGCGGCGGCTGCGGCGCTGTTGAGGCTGTGAGTGCAAGTCCCTGTTCCCCGCCGCCCCGGCCCAGCTCGCCGCGGGTCGGCTCCCATTGCAGGCCTGCTGGCCGGGCGCGGCCTCCCCACGCCCTCACGGGAACACAGCCGGACGGGAGCACCATGCGTCTCCCAGGCGCCGGCTCGACCTGGTCCAAGGTCGCTGCCGCCCTCGCCTCCCTGTGGGAGGGCCCTTGTTGCACCCGGAAAATGGGTACGCACCTTCGGTCGAGTTACCTGGACTCGGCCCCAGGAAACAAAACTGCCTCCCTCCTGCAAATGGCAAACGTGAACACCCAATCTTTTTCTCTGAGAAGCGGCTCGCCTGGTGAAAAACACCGGCGGTTCATTTAACATAGCTGTTCCCAAAAGGTTTGGTCTCAGGACTTGTTTACACGCCTAAAAATAATGTGGGGACCCCCAAAGCCTTTGCTTATATCTATTGGTTTTTGTGTTATGAGGAATTAAACCAGAAATTTAAAAAATACTCACTTAATAACAAACCCATTAACTTTTAATACAATTAACACTTTAATGAAATTATTAAAAGTGAGAAAATTGGCTCATGGTTTTTATATTATTGAAAATTTCTTTGGTTTAATAAAGGACAACTGGAGTCTCATATCAGCTGTTTTGGAGGAAGTGTTTGAAAGAATTCTGGGCTCACGCAGATGGAGATATTAGTTGGGAAAGGGAGGACCAAGCAGACCCTCTCAAAGGGTCTTAGGGACCCCCCACGTGTCTTTGGACTACACTTTGGGAACCGCTGGTCTAGCACTTGCCCATCGTCTAGGTACGTGCACATACATGGTTTCATTTGATTCCCTTCACCACCATGTGAAGAAGTTGGGTATCATGTTTATAAAGATGAAAAAACAGGGTCAGAAAGGTTAAGTGATTCTCAAAGCCCTATGACCAGTAGTGAGAGAGTTTGCTTCAAAAACGGTCTGTGGCTCCTGGTCTGTCACTTCATTCATTCATTCATTCATTTATATTTTTTTGAGACCGAGACTCGCTTTGTCACCCAGAATGGAGTGCAGTGGTGCGATCTCGGCTCACCGCAACCTCCCGCCCCCCGGGTTCAAGCGATTCTCATGCCTCAACCTCCTGAGTGTCTGGGATTACAGGTGTACACCACCACACCCGGCTGGCTAACTTTTGTATTTTTATTAGAGGCAGGATTTCGCCATGTCGGCCAGGCGGTCTCAAACTCCTGACCTCAAGTGATCCACCAGGCTCAGCCTCCCGAAGTGCTGGGATTACAGGCATGAGCCACCGCACCTGGCCTGGTCTAGAACTTCTTACATCTTATTGTACTGTGCCCCTTCAGTCACCCGTGTCCTATGGGAGGACCCACCTAGTCTTATGCATTCCACTTTCCCATTTACTCCACTGCCCCTGACACAGGGCCCTGGCTCTGCGAGTCACCCCTGGCCCCAGAGGAGCAGCTCAGGCAGCGCACCCAGGCTGGTCCAGAAGCGCCCTTTTCTGGCTCCTTTTGAGGGGGCCAGACTCTGTGGCCTGTTCAGTAGTGGGTCCGGTGAGCACACCCACTCCACACGCCAGCATGTCTCGGGGTAAACTCGCTGTGTTCTTCTCCCCGCCTTAGCACACTGGCTCCGTTCTCAACATGTCTACCCGCTGGATATAGGATTCTTGATGGGAATTTTTTTTTCCTTTGAGCATTTTAAAGTGTATTATCTCACTGTCTTCTTGCCTTTATTTTTCTCATGAGAATTCAGATGTTAATCGTATCAGGGTTCTATGTAAGTGATGAGTCATTTTCTTTGCTTTCAAGATTTTTTCTTTTTCTTGGTCTTTCAGTGGTTTTATCATGATATGTGTGGTTCTGTTTGAGTTTATCCTCCTTGGAAGTTTGTTGAGTTTCTTGGATGTGTGTACATCAAATTTGGGGAGTTTTTGGCTATTGTTTTCTCAAAGAAGTGTGTTCTCTTAACCCTCTCTTTTCCTTCTGAGGCTCCCGTTATGTATATGTTGGTGTAGTTGATGGAACCCTGCAGGTCTTTGAGACTGTTGTGTTTTCTTTCTGTTTCTCAGGCTGGATAATGTCAATTGACTTGTCTTTAGGTTTAATGATTTCTCCGTCTTCCAGCTCAAATCATTTTCATTTTAATCAGAACTTTTCTTTTTGGAGACTGAGTCTTGCTCTGTCACCCAGACCGGAGTGCAGTGGTGCAGTCTCGGCTCACTACAACCTCTGCCTCCTGGGCTCAAGCTATCCTCCCACCTCAGCCTCTCACGTAGCTGAGACTACAGGTGTGTGCCACCGCACATGGCTAATTGTTTATATTTATTGTAGGGATGGGGTTTCGCCATGTTGCCCAGGCTGGTCTCTAACTGGGCTCAAGCGATCTGCCCCCCCCTCTGTCTCTCATAGTGTTGGGAATGCAGGCATGAGCTGCCATACCTGGACCTTTTCTATACTTTCTCTTTATTGATATTCTCTTAAGTACTGAAACATCATTCTTATACTTTCCTTTAGTTCTTTTTTTCTTTCTTTTTTTTTTTTTTTAGAGACAGAGTCTTCAGGCTGGAGTGCAGTGGTGCGATCGTAGCTCAGTGCAGCCTCCAGCTCCTGGGCTCAAGTGATCCTCCTGCCTCGGCCTCCTCCCCAGTAACTGGGACTACAGGCACACACCACCATGCCCAGGTAATTTTTACAGTTTTTGAAGAGATAGAGTCTTGCTATGTTGCCCAGGGTGGTCTTGAACTCCTGGGTTCAAGTGATCCTCTTGCACTGGCCTCTAAAGTAGTGGGATTCCAGGCATGAATGACTGCACCTGGCCTCTTTCAGTTCTTTTTTTTTTTTTTTTGAGACTGAGTTTCGCTGTTGTTGCCCAAGCTGGAATGCCATGGCTCAACCTCGGTTCACTGCAACCTCTGCCTGCTGGGTTCAAGCAGTTCTCCTGCCTCAGCCTCCCGAGTAGCTGGGATTACAGGCATGTACCTGACTAATTTTGTATTTTTAGTAGAGACAGCATTTCTCTGTGATAGTCAGGCTGGTCTCAAACTCCTGACCTCAGGTGATCCACCCGCCTTGGCCTCTCAAAACGCTGGGATTATACAGGTATGAGCCACCGTGCCCGGCCTTCCTTCAGTTCTTTATACATAGTTTCCTTTAGTTTTTTGAGCATATTTTAAATAGCTGATTTAACTAGTAAGTCCAACATCTGGACTCAGCAGGGACAGTTTGTAAAGACTACTTATTTTCTTTGCATATGGATCATATGTTCTTGTTTCTTTGCATGTCTTGTATATTTTTGTTGAAAACTGGACATCTTAAGCAATATAATGGGGCAACCCTGGAAATCAGATTTCCTCCTTTTCCCAGGGTTTATGGTTGTTGCTGTTTGTTGTTGTTGTTTGCTTAGTGACTTTAATAAACTAATTCTGCATTGTATTCTTTGTCATGTGCAACTATTGAAGTCTCTGCTTGGTTAGCTTAGTAGTCTAACAATTAGATAAAGATTTATTTAAATTCCTGGAACCAGTAAGTCTCCTAGTCTTCGCTGAGGGACTCAGTGTGTGTCAGGATGTGTCTTCAACATTCAGCCAGTTTGCTACTCTGCCTTCTTTGCTTCCACTTCCTGCTTACAGAGACTGAAGGTTAGCTAGACATGAGCACTTAAGGTCTTTCCTTAGTGGGAATACTGCCCTGCACATGTGCAGGGCCTCCTAGAGTCTCAGGAACATGTCACAACTTTTCAGAGCCCTACAGTGGAGATCTCATTCTTCATTTTTGCTTTTTAAGCATTTTGGTTAGCCTGTTGTTTGCCCTGTTATCTTCCATGTCAAGTAGCTGTGATGGTAAATAAGTACTTCTGATTGGACAAATGCCCTGTGAGAAAATACTATTCCCACTGCACAAGCTCTGAGTCAGGTCAAATAAAGATAGCTATGCAAGTGGTGTCTTCCAAGGAACCACAAGACAGGTCAAATAGTGACATTTTCCAGAAATGGGGCTTTCCCCCACTAGTGGCTGCCATGCTGCTGGTTTCCACTGTGATGGAGGCTGCTGATTTTCAAGTCTACCACCGAGCTGGGGAGGAAGGATTGGGTAAACTAAAACCTCCAAATTGCTGTTCTTACAGAGAGTCATCCATTTATCTTGAATAAATGATCCCTATATTGCTGCAAGTCTTTAATTTCCAGAATTCTGAAAAAGTTGGTTCTGACAATTTTTGCCAATATTGTCATTGTTTTTATGGAAGATGAGATTTTCAAAGGTCCTTTTTCTGTAGTTTTTGCTGGTCAGCCTGCATAGAATTTTGATCAAGAATGGATTTGAATTTATAATTTTGTTTTCAGCATCCATTGCATTGATCATAAGGCTTTTCTTCTTCAGTGTGTTAATATGGTGAATTACGGTGATTGACTTTGTAAAAGTTAAGCTGACCATTGCATTCCTGGAATAAACCCCACTGATCATGATGTATTGTTTGGATTGAATGTGCTAAAATTTTGTTAAAATTATTTGTGTGTTCATAAGGAATATTAGCCTATAGTTTTCTGATACTGCCTTGGCCTGGGTTTGGTATTAGGACAATGATGGCCGTGTGACCACACAGGATGTGTTGGAGAGTTCTCACTTCTATTTCCTGGAACTGTTTATGTAAAATTGGTAAGATTTTGCCTGTAATTGTTTGTACCTGCAGGTTTCTTTCTGGAAAAATTGTTAAACTACAAATTCAGTTTCTTTAATAGACATATTGCTATTCAGTTTGTCTGGTTCTTCTTGAGTAAGCTTTGGTAGTTTGTACCTTTGAAGGACTATGTCAATTTCATCTAAGTTGTCAATTTCATGTACGTAGAGTTGTTCATGCTAATGCCTTATCCTTTTTCTTACAGCTCTGTGAAGGTATATACCGCACAATTTACCCTTTGTAAGTGTATGGTTAAATAATTTCTAATAAGTTTATAGGCCTCTCACTACAATCCAGTTTTAGGCCCCCCTCCAAATTTCTATCATGCCCCAA